GGGAGGGAAAGACTGCAGTGTTGTGATGCGCGCGCGCGAGAGAGAGAGAGAGAGAGACGGGAGGGAGAGACTGCAGTGTTGTGATGCGCGGACGGATCTGCGTGCTTTTCCTCTGGCCAGTGTACCTTACGTTTTGGCTGTCGTTTTCATCCTCGATTTGTAGAAGAAGAGTGTCTGTCTACCTACGTGGCGTGCTTGTCCTGTTTTTCCCTCTTTTGTGTGTTCTGCTTGTAGTCGTCATCGCGGGGGCAGGCTCAGAATCTGTGCCTTCCCTTGTGTCCCCCCTACCCTTCTGTCATGGTGGGCAAAGCGAAAATGCCAATAGCTATGCAGGAGAGCACTATGGAGTCGTCTCACCCCGGTTAGATGACAAGAACAGAACGATTTCCGCTGTCCGACAGTTTAAGGGAAGGCGACGGTTCGTTCCCCTTTTTCCATTGCCTCCAAGGCGTCTGTTCTCCCTTCGCGCGCCGCTCGCCGTTTGGGCCCCCCTTCTCCCTTTCGGCGCCCTTCTGCAAACGAAAGGGGAAGAGCTTCCACGGGCAGGTATATAGTTGATGTCTGTGTCTAGCTAGCAAGGGGGCGGGGGGAGGGGGGGATTGCCCGCATTTCCTCCTTTGCTTTTTTTCTTTCCCAGGCGAGGGACTATCAATTGTCTCTGTTCTTGTCTTTTTCTGGGCCCCTCAACGAGAGCAACATCCCATCTTAGCTGTGGCAGGCAACTTACCACTAAATCCGTGGCAGTGAGTTTCGAGAAAAAAACAAAAAATAAAAGGAGAAGAGGTTATGGAAGCGGGAGGAGCTCTCTTCCCTCCGCTCCGTTCCGTTTTCTGGCAATACGACGTGTGAGCTCCGTATTGAGGGGGGCGTTTGGCGAAGCCGAAGCCGAAGAGGAGGAGAAAAACAATGAAGTATACCTTTCTTGGCGTTTTGGCTAAATGCTAAGAGGAGGAGAAGCCAAGTGTAGAGTCCGTTCGGATCAGTTGAATATTTGATCCGTAGTCCATCGGGAAAGAGAAAAAAGAACAGACAAACGATAGCGTCGTACTCGCGGCCGTCGATTGGGAGCGAAACACTTCCATGTGTTCCTTTTTAGATCGAACGGCAAGCAAGAGAAGCAAAACGAACGGGAAAAAAAATCCACCACCGGCAAGCAGTCCACGTGTTTGATGCTCAGCACAGTTGATATGGATAGAATAGTGTCCACCGACTCCATCGTCAGTAACCAACATGCACGATCGAACTTGAACAGGATCTGTTCTGTATGTCGTACACTTTCCTGTACCTACGAAAACAGATGACTCGTCAGAGCTGGAAGATGAGTTTAGACTTCGACTTCAGAGCGTGACTGCTAGGTGGCAGAAGCTTAGGCATCTTATCACCATCGATGAACGTATCCCTGGACTTTCGTTAAAAAAAAGAAAAGAGACCCAACATGTCGCCGAACACGCGAGCAAAACTCGTCTTGAAAACCAACTGGCCTAGCTCACTTGGTACACCCTTGAACTGTTGAATACAGACAGACCCGAGTTCGAACTCCACTGGAAGCAGATGCGTGAAAAACTACAGTTCTGAATTACCCAGGGCCGGTCTTTGGATGATGATATCTCAAGGCCGTCGCCCTTTTTCTTTTCGGAAAAAGGTCTTGAAAGAAAAAAAACCGAACTCCATACAAGTCTGCGTGTCACAGCCTCTCAGCGCGCACAACCTCCCACGTGCACGTACGTAGATCGAGTACAAGAGCACGTGCACGTGCGGACATCGGGAACAAGACCAGGAGGTGTCGGTGGTGCAGAAAGGAGAAGATGTCGTAGACGGATGTGCAAACGCAGATCACACGAACAGGCACATAGGGCGTCGCTGCACCACTCTCCGAATGTGCCAAATAAGAATGAATTTTCCGCTAGAGAACATGGACAGGTACACCTGCCACATTTTTGTCTTTCTCACCTTTGGAGAGCTTTGCGGCGAGGCCCATATTGCGCTCTCTAGGTCTTCCTTTCTCTTTGTGGCGGGGGAGGGGAACAGATCACAGAAAAACATGCACAGAAGGGACGAAAGATACAGAATTCTCGTCGTTCTCAGAGTAATACTTAGGGTCTGTGGGACTTCATCACGCCTTATTGCATTCCGGGCTGAACGAAAATATGAGAGCAGAGCAGATCAGATTTGTTTGCATCGGAGCGATGGGATGAGTTGGCCCGAACAACGTCCACGGCCTTCCCCGCCCTCCCTCCCTTCCTCCGTCCCCCTGGCCTTCCCCGCTCCCCCTGCCTTCCCCGCCCCCTGTGCCATCCCCCCCGCTTTCTTCACACCCCATCATACCCCACCCCACCCTCGAAAAACTGACGTGCACGCACTACTAGTAGCTTTCCTTGGCCCTTTCCCTTGGCCACGGGCTCGGGAGTTCCAGCCCTGTTTTACTTCTACCGTCTTCCCCCGAATAGAACGAACGGTCATTATAGGGTGCACATATTTGTGACAATTTTCAGTCTACATACAGCGAAGACGGTAGTCTCATCTTTTCCTGCGTGTAAGGGAAAGTGAGACTGAATCCTCCGCTAGAACATGGAAAGATACATTGCCAATTTTTTTTGTGTTTTGTGCATGTGGAGAGTCGTGGAGCGAGGCCCTAAGTTTTCATTGCTAAGGAGGTGAGTAGTTTGATCTCGACGCGCAGGACGAACGGCAGGATAGCAGTCGAGTCTCAGGCGAAATGAGGCCCTCGGCTGGCAATTAATTACACAGGAAGAAATTAAGTCGTCACGAGTATTGTGACTGGTAAGTCTACAGTTTGGGGGCAGGCGAAGCAGACAAACGAGTAAATGCAACTTAACCACGAGGACATGGGTACCGTTTGTGTGTGCAGGTTGGGGGTAAGTGTTCTGTTAACCTGACAAAGGCCATATTGATTGTCTCATGGCCTGTGGAGCGGTGAAAGCCACCCATGGCCGTTGTTAGGATTACCACGGGGTCATGCCAGTTAGGGGAGGGGCTCTGCCCAACCATGTGCCACTCTGCCTTCTCCTTCTCCCATTTTGCATTCACGCGTTAGTTGGTCTCAACCGACCATCCCTGACACAAAGCCTAAGTAAACATTTTACTGCCGAGGACGTTTTACTGTGTGTATGAATGTATGTATTCATTCGTCCGTGGCTGCGATATGGATGGCATGGCATGCATTGGTCAGGCCTGCGTGCCCTGGCACATAACCTAAGTAAACACCTGCTGCCGAGGACGTTTTACTGTGCGTATGAATGTATGTATTAAAATTTCCGTGCCTGCGATCTGGATGGCTTAGCATGGGATGGCATGACCTGCTTTGGTCAGGCCTTCGTTCTCCAAGGCATGGTTCATGCCCATGAACCACCCACCCATTCACCCATCCACGCACCAGCCATGGATGTGAGGTGTCCCGCCAAAGACTTTCCATGACATTGTATGAACTGCGCTCGTATCTAATCCGGACGATCCTCCAGTGTGTGTTGTTTCGATCCCCTTTGCTGTTTGCGAGGACTAATTTCACAGATTGTGAACAAAAGAGTTCAGCCGCCTCTTTAGATCGCTTGGTAGTCTCCTTTGTTTTCTGCTTTCAATCCACCAGTCAGGAACTTTGCCAGACTCTGATGGAACGAATAGCAGCACCACGGGCGAGATTCTCAGCAGTGGCTTCGGAATTTATAGACGCCAAGGCGCCTCAGATCGTAATAATATAATAATACAATTTACGAATAAAATATAGGGATAATTTGCAAAACACCACTATAATGTCACAGCCCCTCGTTTGTTGTCCTCTTCTCTCTCTCTGCCTACGGTTTACCGGGCAGTTCTGTTTGTGACGATGTATGCCAAAATGCCCCTAAAAGACGTGGGTAGAGCGGAATGCCCTTTTGGCCGTAGTTCTTTGTGCAAATTTGCATTCTGGACGGTGTCGATGGGGTCTGGACCTGCAGCCTGTTTTACCCGTTTTGTCCTCCATACCGGGTGGGCAACTTCGCGCAATTCCCAGGCCCGTAGGCGGGGCAGTTTGCCTCCGGGATTCAAACTTTCAAATTCGTTCCAAGTCTCTGCCTATGCCTCGCCGTCTCTGAAATCCTCCTGCTCGCCACTCCTGTGAACTCTCTCTCTCTCTCTCTCTCTCTCTCTTTGTGTGCCACTCCCGTTATCCCGCTTCCCTTTTCTCTCTCTCTCTCTCTCTCTCGCTATCCTGCTCCCGCTATCCCGCTCCCTTCCTCTCTCTCTCTCTCTCCCCCTCCCCCACCAACGTGTGCTGCTTCCGCTATCGCGCTATACCGCTCCAGCTATACCGCGTCCCTTCTCCCTCTCTCTCTCTCTCTCTCTCTCTCTCTCTCTCTCTCTCTCTCTCTCTCTCTTCGCCGTGTGCCACTCCCGCTATCCTGCCCCACTATCCGGCTCCCCTTCTCTCTCTCTCTCCCCCCCTCCCCTCGCACCGTGGGCCACTTCCGCTATCCCGCTTCCCTCTCTCTCTCTCTCTCTCTCAGCGCAACCGGTAAAACAACAGCACCTTCCCCCGAATAAAACGCACGTCCAAAACGAAAATACATAGGGCCTGGGAAAAGTTGGCAAGTACCGGGGCATTTTGCAAAGATGGACAGTACCGGATAGGGGTATTTTGCAAAGATGGCAAGTCCAACCGGGGTATTTCGCAAAACATTTTCTGTGTCAGGTGGGTATTCAGCTCTACCCACCTTTTAGGGACATTTTGGCATATATCTCAACTTATAGGGGAATTTTGCAAATTATCCCATTATATAATAAAATAATACAATAATATAAAATTAACGACGAAAATAATTCTTTTGGGTGCAAGTGTTGTACTTCTGCCAAGCTATGTAATGCACGTGCCGCTCATCCACACAGACAGTGACAGAGCCTTGCATGCCGCAAGTAAAAAACGAAGGAGAAAGGCGATTGCTCTTCACACGCAATTCAAAGAATATTACGACAAGAAATATACAAGCGTGTACCCTTGCTCGAAAATGTGCATGCGTTCCTCTACATGTTTCAACAGGGTGTGCTCCGGTCTCATCAGGAGGCTAACGACTTGCCCAGTGCCTTACAGCCCACCAACACTTGCCACCCTATATGCTGCAGCCTTCCCTTGCATGTTTCGACCGATGTGGCCTTGTCCACCGCAGCCTTCCCTTGCACGTACGCTACCCGTCGGGCATCTAAGTTCTGATTCGCCAGAGAATCCTAGGTTGGGTACTCCTACGTTGGATCTGAGTACGGTCCTCAGTAGCCGCTCAATCGCACTAGTACGGGTGCTGCGTCCAAGCTGGACTGCCGACGACATCCCCAGGTAGTTCGCATGCAATCCTGGTCTGATAGCTCCGGGCAATTGCATATTTGAGCCCTCCAATTTCATATTTGAGTCCTACAATATTTCCTCTTCCTCCTGCCTAAAATTCATTGTTCCACCTAATGTCTCTTTATGTCACCTCACGTCCGATTTCGATTTCGAAATCTATTGCTTCACGTCTTCCCTCCCGCTCCGAATCTGTTGCTTCATTGCTTCACCTAAC